TGTCCTTCTTTGTCTCCTGTTAGTCTTCATTAAAGTCTATTTTGTCTGATATAAGTATTTGCTACTCCAGCTTTCTTTTAATTTCCATTTGCATGGAATACCTTTCTTTATCCCTTCCCTTTCAGTCAGCATGTAACTCTATACCTGAAGTTGGTCTTTTGTACATAGCATATGTATGGGTCTTATTGTACCTATGCAGCCACCTATGTCTTTGGGTGGAACATTTAGTTTATTTACATTTAAGATAGTTATCAATATGTATATTCTTACTGCAATTTTGCTGTTTTACATCTTTTTTTCCCTTCTTCTTCTGTTCTCTTGTGATTTGATGACTATCGTTAGTATTGTTTGGATTTTTCTTTTTTGTCTCTACATATTCTATAGATTTTTTTAGTTTGTGGTTATAATGAGATTTCTTTATAGCAATATATCAAGTTGCTGATCTCTTAATTTCAAATGCATTTTTAAGGCCCTATGTTTGTACTCTCCTCACTTCATGATTACTGTCTTTAATTTGTATCCCTTAACTGCTTATTGTGGATACAGATGATTTTACTGCTTTTGCCTTTTAACCACCCTACTAGCTTTGTATGTGACTTCCTACCTTTATAGTATGTTTGCCTTTACTGGTAAGCTTTTTCATTTCATAACTTTCTTGTCCCTGTGGTGGTCTTTTTTTCCCACCTAGGGACGTTCCTTTAACATTTGTTTTAAACCTGGTTTAGCGGTGCTGAATCCCTTAGTTTTGGCTTGCCTGTAAAGCTTCTGATTTCACCATCAGATCTGAATGAGAGCCTTAATGGGTGAAGTATTCCTTTTGTTGTTTAGTCACCAAGTCGTGTTCAACTCTTTTGTGACCTCATCGACTGAAGCCCACCAGGCTCCTCTGTCCGTAGGATTTCCCAGGCAAGAATACTGGAGTGGATTGCAATTTCCTTATCCAGGGAATCTTTCTGACCCAGGGATCAAACCCACGTCTCCTGAGTTGGCAGGTGGATTTTTTTTTACCACTGAGCCACCAGGGATTCCCAAAGTATTCCTGGTTGCAGGTTTTTCCCTTCCCTTAAATATATCATGCCACTCCCTTCTGGCCTGCAGAATTTCTATTGAAAAATTAGCTCCCATAGTCTTATGGGAGGTCCCTTGTATGCTACTTGCTGTTATTTCCCTTGCTGCTTTTAATATTTTCACTTTAATTTTCTCAGGTCCTTTCTCTCTCTTTTCCTTCTGAGGCCCCTATATAATGTGAATATTAATGTGCTTCATGTGGTCCCAGGTCTCTTTTTGTCTTTGTTCTATTCATTGGCAGTCATTTCCACTACTTTCTCTTCCAGCTCACTGATTTATTCTTGGGTATCATTTAATCTAATATTAATTCATTCTAGTGTATTTTTATTTCAGTTATTGTATTCATCATCTCTGGCTGTTCTTTATATTTTATGTTTGTTAAAAAAAACTTCTAACGTCTCACTCTATGCATCTATTCCCCTCCCAAGTTCTTCGACCATCTTTACGATCACAACTCTTTTTCAGGTAGACTGCCAATCTTCACTTAAATTCTTCTTCTGAGGTTATATCTTATTTGTCTAGAACATGTTCCTGTGCTGCCTCATTCTGTCTAATCTGCTATTTGCATTTTTATCTGTGTGAGAGGCCAGTGATGTTTCTCCACCCTGGAGAAGTGGCGTTCTCTAGGAGATATCCTATGTGCCCTAGCAGTGTCACCACCTAAGCTATATGCTCTCAGCATTCCCCTTAAGAAGGCTGCATGGGTCCTTCTGTTATGGTGGGCTGGTTATGTGGGAAGTCTAGTAGACTTGGTTGGCCCCTAATCCAGTTGGTTGCCAGGCCCTGTCTTGTTCAGATGCTGCTGGCTACTATTTAGTGGTACCCAGTCACAAGGCAGCTGGCTGCAGAATCCTAGGGGGCCCTGGAGCTAGTGCTGGCTCACTACTGAGCAGGGTTATGGTTTTGAAGACTCTGGAGCTATTGCCCACCCACTGGCAGGTGAGGTCAGATCCTGGGGTTAATGCCAGACTCCTGGCAGGCAGAACTAATTTCTGGAGTCTGGCTGCAGCATCCAGGGATCCCAGAGCTCATTTCTGGTCACTGAGGTGAGGGGAGGCCAGCTCCTAAACAGCTGTGTATGGTGTCTGGGGCGTCCAGAAGACTGTGTTGGCCTGTTGTGGTCAAGGCGAGGGCACAAATGGTCCCAGAATAGGCTGGATGCTTCTGCTGTCTCTCCCCCATTGGGCGAGGCTCATCTAGAGGCTAGCACAGGCTTTCTGGTGGGAAGAGTTGGTGCCTGCCCACTGATGGTTAGAGCTGGTTCTTGGCCCTTTACTGGATAGGGACATGTCCAGGGGCATGTCTAGAGGTGGATATAGGGTCAAGAAGTCTTTAGAGAGCCTGTCTGTTGATGGGTGGGGTTGTGTTCCTGCCCAGTTTGTTGTCTGGCCTGAGGAATCCCAGCACTGACCCCTGCAGGCTGCTGAATGGGGCCAGATCTTGGTGCCAATGAGCCAAGATGGTAGCAGCCAGCAACAGTGTTCATCTATTTGAATGCTCCCAGTATGTATGCCACCAGTGTCCAGGTCTCCAGGGTGAGCCGCAGCTGCTCCCTGCCTCTCCAGGAGCTTCTCCAGGACCAGCAGGTAGGTCTTGTACAGGCACCTATCACACTATTTCTTTTGCTCTGCGTCCTGGTATGCATGTGGTTTTGTGTGCCTCCTTTAAGAGTGAAGTGTCTATTTCCCCCACTTCTGTGGGCCTTTTCTGCAATTAAGTGCTGCTGGTCTTCAAAGCCAAATGCTCCAGGAGCTTGTCTTCCTGGTGCCAGAACCCTGGGCTTGGGAGCCTGATGTAGGACTCAGAACTCTTACTCCTGTGGCAGTACTTCTGCAATATAATTATCCTCCATGGGTTGCCGACCTGGCGGGTATGGGATTTTATTATATCGTGAGTCCATTCTTCCTACTTTTCTCGCTGTGGTTCCTTCTTTTTGTCTTTAGTTGCATAAGATCTTTTCTGGTAGATCCCACTCTTTCTCATCAATGACTGAAAATTACAGAAAACTGTTCTATAGAAAACTGTGATTTTGCTATGCTTATGAGAAGATGGGTTTAGGGTCTTTCTACTCTGCCATCTTGGCCTTTCCTTGCTATGAGCAAGTGGCCATATGGGTAAATGAAAGCATCCTGACAGACAGATGCTGCACTCCTTCCAGTGTTGACACATAGGATGAATTTTGTGGCTAATGGGAAGTGGTTTATGATAAAAAGATGCTTAAGCAAGGCTAAAGGGGTGCAGAGCTTCCTTGCACTCTCGGAGTTGCCATGTGTTCACCCTGTTTTCATTTACTTTGCTTATATACGTAGAAGTGGGCTGCTAGATAATATGATAGCTATTGTTTTGTTTTGTTTTTTGTTTTGAGGAATCCCTATACTGTTTTCCAATTTACATTCTCACCAATTGCACACAAGTGTTTCCTCTTCTCCATATACTCTCAAACATTTGTTATTTTTTGTTGACAGCTATTTTGACTGGTGTGAGGCAATAGTTCATTGTGGTTATGATTTGCATTTCTCTAATAATTAGCAATGTTGAGCATCTTTTCATGTACCTATTAGCCATCTGTATGTCTTCTTTGGAAAAATTCCTATTCAGGTCTTCTGCCTGTTTTTTGATATTGAGGTGTATTTATATATTTTGTATATTAAGTCCTTGTTGGTCATACCATTTGCAAATATTTTCTCCCATTTTGTAGGTTGTCTTTTTATTTTCTTAGTGGTTTCCTTTGTTTTGCAAAAGCTTTTAAGTTTAATTAGGTCCCACTTGTTTATGTTTGCTTTTATTTCTTTTTTAGTGTCTTCTACATGTAGTATCATGTAATCCAAAAGTAGTGACAGTGTTACTTCTTCCTTTCCAATTTGGATGCTTTTTATTTCTCTTCCTTGCCTAACTGCTCTGGCTAGGACTTCCAATATTATGTTGAATAAAACTGGTGAGACCGGGCATTCTTATCTTGTTCCTGATCTTAGAGTAAATGCCTTCAGCTTTCTGCCCTTGACAATGATGTTGGCTGTTGCCTTGACAAATACAGCCTTTATTTTGTTGAGGGATGTTCCCTCATGCCCCCTTTGTTGACTTTTTATCAAACTATATTAAAATTTGTCCAATGCTTTTTCTGCATCTAGTAAGATGCTACTATGATTTTTATCCTTCATTTTATTAATGTAGTGTATCACACTACACTATCAATCAGCATCACCCTGATTGATCTGCAGATACTGAACCATCCTAGCATGCCTAGAATAAATCCCACTTGATCATGTGCTGATGAATTCGATTTGATAAATTCTGACTAAGAGATTTTTCATCTATCTTCATCAGAGATATTGGCCTGTAATTTTCTTTTCTTATAATGTCCTTGTCTGGTTTTGGTATCAGGATAATGCTAGTCTCATAAAACAATATTGGAAGTGTTTGATCCTCTTTTATTTTTTGAGAGTTTGAGAAGTACAGGTATTCTTAAATGCTGGGGATAACTCATCAGTGAAATAATTTGAGAAAATTATTTAACTTCTGAGCCTTTTATATAGAATGGAAATATACTTACCTACATCATGGAATTATTATATGAATTAATAACAAGAAAATATATAATATATTATCAAGAATCAAGTAATTATACAATAAATGTTAGGTCTCTCTCAAATACACACCATCTGAATACTCATTCCCACTCAGCTATTGTCAAGATGAAAAGCACACAGTAAACACTAATTTCAGCATAACCTGTGGAAATAATTCTATGAGAAAACTGCTCATTTACTCTGCTGGCTCATTTCAAGTATGGTTACTTAAAACTGAAGATTTTAATGCAGCAAATTACCCCCATTAGGTATGACAGTAAAGAATAAAAGCACTCTACTAGATAGACAGTCTATCTCATCTACTTTGTAATTCCTCTTTAAACTAATTTTAGAAATACAACAAACCTTTGATGCAGCAACTGCTGAAGAACTTGAGGGTGAAGTGTCTCTTGATGTTTTCAAAGGCTGAACAGGTCTTTCTTTACCTATATAAGAAAATATAAAATGCAATTTTCTAGCTCATTTGTTTTCAACTAGACTGATTCTGTAAGAGAATAAATAAAGGACAGAAGTCATATATTTATTTTAGTACTGAAATCTTTATTACATTATTAAATTAAATTTGTTAATATCTAAATCTCTCTTAGAGGCTGGGCACCATTGAAAATTTCAAATAACCTAGAACAAAGGACTATACACATTATGGCAGTCTAGGTCATATCAGTGCCAGTTAGCAAACATGGAACAACAAAGAAGACTTGAGGAAAGGAAAACCATTTTAAAACCATAAATGTTCCCTCTTCCAAATTCTGAAAAGCTAACTTTTAATGCATCACACACAATAAAAATCCAATGGAGGTTATTATATAAACACTACAAAAGAGAATTAGTTAACTATTAGCTAATTATGCAGAAGCTCAAGATAAAGACACGTAGGAATTTTGCAGGTATTCATGAAATGTTAAAAAAATAAAAATAAAAACTAGAGCACTGTAATACAGCACTAATCCACTACCTGATATAAGTGCTCAAATATATGCGAAATGATTAAAAATAAATCCATATGAAATAAAGTCACTAGCCTTTATCTTTAGACACTCCCAAAGTGCTCTATATATATATTATTGTTTTTAATGGAAATTTAAGCCAGAAAATAAATTTAAACATTACTTTAGCCAGTTCAATGACAACAGCAAAAAAACAACAAAAAAGGTTTAGCTAAACAGGATTTTTAAAGCAACAGTGAGCTGTCACTAACAGAAAACACTCACTAAACTGACTATGTGTCAAACGTAATGCATACCCTCTGCTTTCAAGGGCCAGGGAGCTGTAACTACGGAGAGGAGAAAAAGCAATGCCAAGTTCGGAGTGGCACAGAAACTGGTCAAGGTTGGAGAGTAGTTTAGGGCCAGGAAAGCAGTCAAGAGCAAAAGCAGAGACAAATGACCTTCAAACTGAAGCAAAGCCAGCTTCAGTCAAAAAGCCTCCTAAGTTCTTCCTGCTGTGGTCACAATAGCTAAGGACGGACCTGGAGGCTCAAGGGCTTCCAACCACCTAGAGAAGTAGGAAATAACATCTCTTTCCAACATCCTTAAGACCTGAAAAAGCTTTCTCAAGACACCCCTACACCTCTCCCCACCCACAACACGTGGCAGTGTGTGAAGATATTTTTGATCATCTCAAATGGGTGAGTGTCATTGGCACATGACAAAGAGAGGTTAGGGATGCTGCTAAACATCCTACAAATGCACAGAACAGACCTTCACAATAAAGAACGATCCAGCCTCAAATGGTAATAGAGCTGAGGTTGCAGACTCCCCTACTATAGGTACAGTACTCCAACTCTGAAGCTCCAATAGTCTTTATAAAGACAGACTTCTAGAATCTTTTAACTTGTGGTACCATTAAGAGACTTTCATACTAAGCAAGTTTAAAAGTTCTTACAGACCTTAAAAGTCAAAAGTAAAAGGATACCAATCATCACTGTATCCCCAAATGACTAAGAACATGGTTTATTTAGTCATTCCCTACTGAATTCCCACTGTACATGGCAAACTCCACATCATAATGTGACAGTGTCAGTCTATCCCATCACATCTAAAGCTCCTAGAGAAGCTTTTTTTTTTTCTGAATACCCAAGGCCTGCTTTTAAGAAAAGAGTAGTTGCTCAAAAAATGGTGAAGAGATGAATTATTTTTCTACCCTTAGGACACAATGACCTCTTTAGTATATTCAGATAAATATTTCCTTCAAAGATAAAGAACTGGACCAATCAGTACAGCACACTATGTTAATTAAAAGCATAATTACAGGCTCAATTCTGGCACATAGCAGCTAAACATAGCCATAAAAAAAAAAATAACCTTTCACAAGCAGCTGTTAATCTCTTACTTAGCATTTCCCTTACAAATAAAACATCAGCACTTCAGGTATGCCAAGTATGATGTCAAAGCGTTGTCTTAGGATCTCTCATCATTTTAGCTGCATAAGGCTAATTTAGGCAGATTTCAACCAATCTCACTGTGCGGAAGCAAAGGATCACTGAAGGACAGGGCAGTGGTTGATCAAACATCAATATATATTCACATATACCAGGTACATAAAGGGGAAGGACAGGCAAGAAGCAAAGGATAAAAGAAAAAGGATGATACAGATGGCAGCAGAAAAAGCACAAAACAATAAATAGAAATGTCCTGACCCTACTGCTGTTGGATTCTATCTGCCAGTGTCTCTTCTACAGATCTCAGCCTCCTCTGAGGCGGCTGTTTCTAACCAGGAGTAGGCGAGCTTAGACAACAAATCACTTATCTACCCAAATCCTACTACGTGAGTCTGCTGTTGTTCAACTCTAGTTCCCACAGTAGACTAACGGGAGAATTCATACACTTACCCATTTCTATAACCACTACCAATTATAGCCCCCCACCCTTCACAATCCCAAATCAAAATCTAGCTCAAAACTCACCTCTTTCTGGCTTTCCTTCATTCTGCCGTTTGTAGCAGGCACCAGCACGCACGGGCTCTAGGGAAAGGTGGGCAGGGAGGAATTAACACGGGCACCTCTGTGCCCAGGAGGAACAAAAGGACCCAGAAGTAGGAATAACGAGAACAGGAACTTCTGAGCATTTGCTGGTAACCCTAACATCTTTCCTACCCTGTCTTCAAGTTGGGCTGCCTGAGCAAATACCACTAAAGAGAAATAAATAACAAAATAGGAGAAAAACTCTGTTAAGAATCGGTCCAACAATGGTGGATGAAAAAGAGGCTAACCAAGGATAGCATGGCCAGAAAGTAACAAAAAAAGGACCATATAATAAGACACCAAAAGTTAAAGACAGGTATCACACATCTTACTCATCAGTATAAGCACCTAAACTAGTCTCCTCCATAAAGTAAATATATAAAGGACTAAAAAATGACACCAAAAAATCAAGAGCAAAAGATCAATCACCCCTAGAAATCAAAAAAGACACCTGAGAAAGTTTTCATGGTACATCATACCAGTTCCCTGGTCATACAATGACTATCTGCAAGGAGTTGTTCTGACTTGTTCTCAACAGGTAGCCTATTACAAGTTCTTAATATTTTGCCATTTGCTTTCATGCCTTTGTACTTCTCTGTCATCCGGTATCTTCTTACCTTTCTCTCTCTTCTTTGTTGGTTATTACTCCTTAAATATGAATGTTCCTCCTATCCTCAATCTTTTTTGTTCTGTTATTCTTATTTGGCTCCAATCAATACTAAGAAAACAAGACAAATGTCTCTCACTCTTTTCACTCGTACTTCTGTATTTCTGACGGACAGAATGCTACTCTGTAGGTGCTTGGCCATTACCTCAAATTCATCTTACATGTGATCTTAGTAAGCAGAAACTAACCCCTACCTGATCATGTGGCAACAGGACTCAATACATTCCTGTCTTTGCTGTGACTTGCAAAAAAAAAAAATAGTAAGTTTTAAAGTAGGATGAAGGAAAGAAACTAGGAAAGAAAATTCTCAAGTTGGCAATATGGAAATCAAAATCCCAGTTAATATATTGGTGAGTGAAAGAATAAATGGTGAGGAAGAAAATGAACAAGAATTTCAAATACTGGTTCCACAGACTATAAAGTTCTTCTCATGCAGGTGAAATAAAAGCCTAAGAAGCAGCTCAGTGTTCCAACAAACACCTAAAAGTCTGTAAGAATTTAACAATATTCACTGTCTCTTTGAATACAGTAGCTGTAAATGTGATAATCTTTCAGAAACATACTTTCTTGCTCATGTGTTCTGATGAAAGCAATGATAAACTTAACCAGACTCATCCAATCAAGCATTATGAATTACTGATAACTCATATAGGAACAAAATATTCTGCTAGGGAAAAAAATTTTAAAGTATCGCTGGAGAGATAATAAAGTTAGGGCTATATCTTGCAAACTATTAAATGCTTGGTACAGTGCCTGATGTAAGAGTAAAATTAGATATTTCTGAAAGTCTTATCAATAAAAAATAAACAAGAGCACAGGTAGTACATTAATCTCTCCTTTGATACCTGAAGCTTTAAGAGAGAAATTAAGATATGAACAAATGAAGATGTGATGATTACAAAGATGCTAAGGAAATCATTTCTCTGAATCATGGATGAAGATGTGCAAATTTGGGGCTCTCAGTTAAGAAGAGCATGATTTCTCAGCGATCTACTTGTTTATTCAAGAAGTTATGAAACAAGGAATTCCTTGGCAGTTCAGTGGTTAGGACTCTGTGCTTTCACTGCAAGGGGCAAAGGTGTGATCCTTGGTTAGGATCCTGCATGCCACGTGGCATGGCCAAAAAAAGGCCATGAAACAGAAAAACGGAGGAAACACGAGAAAAATGATCCTTGTGGTAAAGACACCAAAAAACTACAGAAAAGACAACCAAACAACCACAGAGGCAGAAAAAGCTCTATACCACTACTGCTTCCCTAAAATAACCAACTTTTGGAGTAAGAAATCCAACCAGTTAAAATTAAGACATATTAACTATGAACACATGGAAGTGAATTTCCAAAAAGTATGGAAATGTGCTACTGGTAGAACATACAAGCCCTGAAACAGGGATGCTATATATGTCTACACACATGAAAATGCCATTATTTGACTATTGCTTCAGAACCTCCATCATTCAGGTAGGTGCCAGGAAAGCCATAGTTGACCTCCTAGGATTCACCCAGAAAACTCACAGCCAAAGCTCTCTGTGATTAAACCACAGGTTCTCAGACAAAAAGAATATACTGTAGAATCTAATTCAATAGCACATTTACAGCTTGGATCAGTTAAAGAGTCCAAGATTAAATTCCACGTGAAACAGCTCATCCCAACAATACTTTTCTACTTTCATCCTCCCAGCAACTTCTGCCCACTCTTCAGGTATCACCTAAAATGTCTATTCCCAGGAAATGACCTGTCTCCTTCTCTAGCTATAAACTCAGAGGGCAAGGACTGGATCTGTCTTGCTTGGCAATCTTTTATGTAAAGTACATTTTTGTTGAATGACTTTACGAATTTTGTTGTTCAGCTGCCAGGCGGGGTCCGACTCTTTGTGACCCTGTGGACTGATGGCAGCACGCCAGGCTCTCTGTCCTCCACTCTCTGACTTTACTCAGACTCATGTCCACTGAGCCAGTGACGCCATCCAACCAGCTCGTCCTCTGTGCCCCCTTCTCCTTTCGCCTTCAATTCTTTCCAGCATCAGGATATCTTCCAATGAGTCAGCTCTTCACATCAGGTGGCCAAAATATTTATGAGTACTGAACACAAATAAAGTAACTTCCAAGCTAAGAAACACTATTATATTCAGCGGATAAGAAAATAGGTTCCTACTGTGTAATAAACATGATCTGATGGTAAAGCCTACTTCCATGTTCCCATTATTACTCTACACCTGCACAGAAAAGCCTTCTTTCTAAAGGCAGAATTAAATCTCTAAATTTTACTGGAATTTCAACTATTATCCAAAAATTCACATGGACTTCCAAATTCATTCACAGCAAAAGGTCTTAAGATGTGTCTTCTTTCTTATTAAACTGAAGTTTAATAATAGAGTCTAATTTCCAAACATATTCTTCTTGAAATAGTACTGTTAATTCCTGTACATTTTCAGTTATCATGGAAGATGTGCTTTCAAAATTAAACACTGATTAATGTTAAGTCTTTCTTTAAAATATCTTCCATTCTTAATAATGGCTGCTGATTTCAAGAAAATAAGGGAGACTGGGCCCAAAGTCGGAGCTATATAAAATCAGATACAGACCAATAAAAGCAATAAACCTGTAAATCTTCCACAGTAATGACACCTAAAAAATTCAACCAAAATGTCACATGGTGGTAGTGGTTTAGTCGCTAACTCATGTCCGACTCTTGCGACCCCATAGTCTGTAGCCCACCAGGCTCCTCTGTCCATGGGATTCTCCAGGCAAGAATACTAGAGTGGGTTGCCATTTCCTTCTCCAAGGGATCTTCCTGACCTAGGAATCGAACCCAGGTCTCCTGCATTGCAGGCAAATGATTTACCAACTGACCTATGAGGGAAGCCTGATTTATATATGAGCATCACTGGTAAATTTGACATTAACCTGCAGCAAATGTTTAGAATGAATTAACAAAGAGTTTGTAAGTACACAGAGGATCATCCCTAGGAATCACAACAGATTTATACAACAAAGCAAAGCAATCTTTATGTTATTGTTTCCAAAGAGGAAATACTTTGTGGTTCTCAAGTGGGAAAGAAAAAAATATGGGGAATCACAACTGACTGAGTAATAGCAAATCATTTAGATACATGTTCCACAGAGGGATGTGCCTAGAGGTTTCTATATTAGGACTTATGCTACTCAAATTAATTATTAATGATTAATACAAAACAAAGTATACTTCATTTATGGATAAAACAAAACTGCTTTTATCTGCTACTGTACATAGTCATTAAAGAGATTTTAAGACCTTTATAGAAGAGAATTGTAAGCCAAAGTTAATTAAATGAAATACAGCATTCCTAGACTATTTTTTAATGCATTAACAAAATGCATTATACAAAAAGTATAAGCTGCAGGGTTTTTTTTTTTCTCTCTTCATATTATTATATGTGAAAATGTCCTAGATTGCAGTTGCCTGCAGTTTCAATAAGGGCCAGTAACACAACATGGTTGACAAAAGTTCACTTCTGGCATCACAACTTAAAAGGAATAGAAAGAAAATTAGGAAAGTAAAAGGTATGAAAACCATGTCTGATAAAAGGAAGCACTGAAGGAAGTAAATATATTTAAATCTGGAAAAAAAAAAATCAAAGAGATTATGATGGTACTTTTCAAATTTGCAAAAGATTCCAACATAAAAAGAAATATCTTTATGGCTCTAAGAAAAATAACTAGTATTAAGTAGCTGTTACAAGAAAAGGTTTTAATGTTTGTTTGTTTTTTAAAAAATGAGTTACATAAAAAGGAAAGACTGGCCTGTAATGTAGAAAGCTTCAAGGGAAGTACTTTAACAAAAAGTCTCCCATACCGATATGGGAGACTCTGGTGTTATTATTAACAATATATCCTAAACAGAAGGTAAGTAGCAAAAGTATAAGATAGGAAAACAGTGGGATTCATCAGAGAGAGGGGAAAGAAAAAGGAAATAAATATCTAAGAGACAGCTGACAAATAGGGAAAGTCTGGTTATATCACTCAGAATAAAAACAAACTTCAAGTAAAAATATAAATGGTATATATAACAAAACAATTTTAACTATAATAGTATAATAAACAAGGGAAAAGGAAATGAGGCTAACCAGGACAACCTATACTGTTGGCATGTAAATATGAACAATAATAAGGAAAAAATTATTATCATATATCATAGTCACAGCTATGATCAGGTTAGTCCACTTAAGTTATCAGCAGAAAATTCTTAAATGTGAACACAAGATGCAGACAGTTTGATTTACGAAGATAATCAGCCTATGGTAGTACAAAGTTCTATAGGATTTAACTCAAACACTAAGAAAAAATTTAATTAAATAACATGTGTGGACATGTGTGCACAAAACAGGAAATAAGCAACTGAGAGGAAAAAGTAACAATCATTGTGACTTATAATTAAGCACATTAAGAGATATAGTAAATGCACAGAAGAATTATGAAAAATTAGTCCTAAAATGATTGCCATGGACAAACTATTAATGATCATTAAAATGAGTAAAATTTGTCTGAAAAGTATGAAAAGAAGCAAAACACTACATGTTAAAAAAAACTAACAAAATGAGAGCATACGGAATAAGAAAATTATTTTTACCTGTTACTTACAGAAACATTTAAAATCTTTGTCAAAATTTCAATTTCCACTGGAAAACTAAATTAACCCACTACTGGCAGATTAGCCCAGTTTAAGTGACTGATAATTAAGGACCACATTTCTCAGCTCTCTTTTTTATTTTTTGAATAAACGCAAGGTACAATCAATATTTGGGAGATTTATATTGAAAGCAAAAACCAGTACCACAAATATGTAAAGTAACAATTACTTTTTCCATTTATTGTTTAAAGTAAGACTTTGTTAAACTTTTTGGAAGATTAACTCCTGTAACTGTCCTGAAAACTATTTAATGAAAGGAGTAAAGAAAAACATTGCAACAGTTCAGCCCCAATAGCTGAGGAATCAACCAAAGCAATCTGTTAAGAGAACTTTCCCAGGAAAAAAAAAAACAAAACTTTTTTTTCTTGGCTGAAGAACTTCACTTGCAAAGTAAATGACTTAAGAAAATAAACATGAAGGCATTAACAAAGTTGTACACTCTATTTCATTCAATTCATACCAGATTTTAGTCTTCGAATTTTCTGTTATCTTTCCATCATTGCAAGATACTAAACCTATGAGACCTGAAAGGATGGGAAAAGCATATCAGAGACACACAGACTGCAGCATCACATTGTGGCTCCATATTGCATCTCAAGATTTTAGAGTTTTGGCCACTACCTACCAGACCAAATGCAGATTGAGGATACCTCCCTAGAAATCTGTTTTAGACGAAAAAAGGAAAAAACAAGGCGAATTCACCAATAATTTAAATAACTTAACAGCTTCACTGCAAGATCTAAGGAAGGACATGTAAATACATGGCTAATTCATTTCAATGTATGACAAAAACCACTGCAATGATGTAAAGTAATTAGCTTCCAACTAATAAAAATAAATGGGAAAAAAAAAAAGATCTAAGGAAGGACCTCCAGCTTCTACTTTACTAGTTTTGTTTAAAAGGCTTCAAATCTGTTTCTAAAGACACTGTCCTCCTCTTAACCAAATTACTAATAGATCTGGATTTAAGTCAGACACGTCTAAAAACATATGTCCCTAGAAGGTATCTGGCTAATTATGGATATTTATGTCTGTGCACGTGAGCACACATTAGACTTAGAGGCTAAGTCTTGAAGGGTGAGGGGAGGAGGAAGGAAGTGAAGGAAAGGAGAAGTTACCAAACTTTTAACACTGAACTCCACAGTAAAACTTTCAATTACCTGGAGCTAGTCCAAGAACATTTTAAGCAAGCAGGCATGTGCTGAGTGACTATGGCTGTTTTAAAACCTTCAAGTGGGATTCTTACCTTCTGCAAGGCCATTCACACACATATATCCAAAATATGTTTTTTGGAAGCCCCACTCTACCTAGCTCTGGAAATAGCAGACAAGTGATAAATGTTTGTTAAATATAGGAATCCAGTAACAGCTACAATGGAGACAATCTAATGATCTTAAGCGAAGATTGTTAAAACTAAAAATCTTATTATTTGAGAAAAAAAAAGTTAAAAGGAAGGAAAAGAAAGAATAAATTTCTGATTTCTGTATAGCTTATAATTCCTTCCACCTAGAAGATACTTCTCTACTTGTACAAGTCTGAAATAAAAGATGAGCCCAAATGTCATTTCCTCCATGGCATGTTCTTCCAACCCCAGAGTGAGAATCTCTTACCGAGACCTGCTTATGTCATGTTAACTCATTTACAAAGTATCAAGTCTTACATCAAAGTTATACTTTACATGTCACATTTATGTATGGATAAATTTGCTATTAGTTGCGGGAAAATACATATACATTCTAATTCCTTGGTGACAAGGACATTTTTCTAACATAACACCCTGAATATAGAAGGCAGGAGGAACTGTTTTGTGAATGAGCGCAACTGCAGGTGGCAGGGTCTAGAATGGTAACACAGGAAAATTTTACCTAGGAAAGTGGCTTCATTTATTTATTCCAACCAATACTGAGCAACTGGGCCAGGGCAGCATGCACTGAATGCCATGCATGTCTGGGTACTTCAAAGTAAAAAATAAAAAACAAACTGGAGGTTGGCAAAGAATGAATCGAAGGTAGGTTTTGGCTCTAAATTCTGTAAGGCTATACCTTATATTTAGGGGAACCACTAATGTTTTTCATGAAAAATATAAATGATTTCCCCTAGTGACAGAAGGTTAAAAGAGGTTGGATCAACCCAGGAATTAGCAGAACATATAGGAGTGTGTGACACGCCAATATGACTACAAACACACCTCTTCTACACTGGAGAATTAGAAGTGAAATATCATGCGGACTTCAACTTGAAATAGTTCCAAGATGTGTTATGACATTCATTATACTAGTCTACTTTTCTGTAAGTTTGAAAACTTTCAAATAAAGAGTTAAAAATAATATATGTATCTAATAACACATATAAGGCTATCTGACTCAGTATATTCTGACCACTGGAGGCTGCAAAAAAAATAAAAAGGAGAACTCTTAAAAATACATACTTCTGTGTTGAGACTGATGGAAGGAATAAGTTTTGCTTCTTTCTGGAGAGTAACTCCTACTGCTGACACTGGAGCCAGATCTGCTGTGTGGAGAATCCTTTCGGCCTACAGGCGATTCTCTGAAAAAAGGAGTGTCTCTTTTATGAGGAGACCGGTCTCTCACATAATGGGAGGAGTAGAAACCTTTTCTTCTAAAGCTGTCTCTCATGTCCCTTTGAAGTAAAAATAAATAAGTTAATTATACCTTGTACTCACTATACATAAGAACAAATAGCAAAAGCTCTGGTTATAAGCCACTCCTTCTGTTGTAATTTTTGTTCCCTTCTACAACCACCTACCTTCTGAAATCAGTCAATAAAATGAAGCTTTATCAGTGACATATGATTTAGAATGCAGCATTTTTTTAGTTTGGTTAACCAGGTGGTTATGTGCAAAAGTTACTTATTTTAAGCAAGCACAAAAATTTATACATGTGAAAAACATAGTCATATAGTTTCTACTTCTGTTTGAAACTAACAACACACCACACAGCTACTACTCTCTCAAAGACCCCTAAAAAATGCCAAAGATCTCCCCAGTGAGATAGTTCTTGGCCTATTATCCTCATCCAAGCATAGCATTCAACACTTTTCAACTGGTGCGATTTCCCACTACCCTGCCCCATGGTAATCTGGCAGGGTTTACAGACACTTTTGTTGTTACAATCGCAAAGAAGGGAATGCAACTGGTAGCAGGATGCTACCAAAATGCTACTATGCCCAGAACAGCTCCCACACACACAGAGTAAAAAAACGATGCAATCCAAAGTGTTAACAACGTCAAGGCTGAGAAACCATGGTATACACTTATTAAATCCTTGCTCTCTGAATTTATAACAGATTGTTGCCCATCTCTAAATACCAACTTTTTAATATCACCTTTACTTATACAAATTAAATTGCCTTATTAAGCAATATCATCTACTCAAAGCAGAAAGCAAGCCCAAGTAATAAAGACTTATAAAGCAAAACTATCATTAAAACATCAAAGCAAACTAAAATTAATAAAACTATTGAGACACAAGTTTCTATTTAAAAGAACACTTAGAGTCAAACAGGTTTTAACTGAAGATTTAGCAAATATACCTCCATACTGAAATTAAAGAACATTACACTCTAGACAGAAGAATGACAAAAAGATGAGCCAACTGCCATGAAATTTCAAATGCTCAAAAACTAATTTCAGCATACTGACTGGTAGTCCTTAATATGTAACCAGATTGTTGTCATTAACTATTAATACTCAAACTATATTGTCTTTACAGATACAATGAAGCTCCTCTGTGCAGAAGTAGAAAACATTTAAAACTCATTATGATAAATGAACTCAGACAAAATACTAATACTGAAATAAGCCACTAAAACTATAGGAGTCATAGCAAAATCACTGAAAGCTGAAGTAAGTAGCTATAATGTATTACACAGATTTGAGGAACTACCAGGTGCTGGGGACCCAAAGGTCAACCACATATATATATGCGGTGTGTGAGACGGTGGATGCCAAGATGATGTCAAATTCTGGCACAGGGGATCACTGAAATGAGAAAGCAGACCTGAGAAATAAGTAAGAGTGGGACAGCCACATTTAGATTCAATCATGCTATCTTTCAGATGCTCATGTAACCGTCTGGTAAGCAACTACAGATAACTGGTGAAAGACCAGAACAGGTTTCTAGTTATAATTATAAATTTGTCTGTAAACAGGCAGTATTTAAAACCTTCAGTATAGATGAAATCAAAGGATAAAAAGCAGAAGGCCTAGAATCTAGGGCTAGAAAACTACCACACTGAGAAGGAAATGGGCTGTCTGAGAAGAATGAGAGAGAAGCCACAAGAACACGAGGGACAGGAGAGTAAGTGATCAGGGAAGGAAAGGAAAGAGTGCTCCAAGAAGGAGAATAAAGATTTCCTACACTGAAAGTCAATGAGCTCTTCCTGATAACTTACTCAGGAAATGGAGAAGAACAAGGCCACATTCAGAGAAAAGACAGCCTGTTTTCTCTGAAGGGAAAGATGAAATGCTGAATTACAGTTTCCTAATCCTAACACCAGATGGCAGTAAAATCACAATAGCTCAATTCAGAACCATCAGTGGCATGGGGTGGCTAAAGATACACATGGCTGAAGTACATGTCAGATTTTAAAATCACAAAGCAGAGTAACATCTCTCCTCTCCCTCACACCAACCTCTCCTACTGACCATCAGATTAAACAAAAACATCACAGTAGGCATCATCTACCATACGTATACAGTACTACTTTATCCAAGTCATTTATTCACATGCATATTTATAAATATTTTTTCATATCTATATATCTATGTCCCAATTTATAAAAGGCACTATAGAGAATTATTCTGGCTCTGAATAAGCTTACCATCTAACTGCAGGGATGGGGAGGAAATGTTCCAGAAGGTTGTACCATCATTCAGAAGAGAAGTATATATTAATAGATGAAAAACTGACCAAGAAGTCTTTAAGAAAAGTTAGAATTTAGATCAACACTGTCTAAGAGAAACATAATCAAGCCACAGATGATGTAGTCAGAGTTCAAAAGTAAAGAGAAACAGGTGAATTTTAGCAATATTTTACTTAACCCAATATACTCAAAATAGTATCAACATGTAATCAATATTTTAAAATTTAGTGAGATATTTTATATTCTTTTTCATCTTACATCTTGAAAATCAAGTGTGTATTTTCTATTTACACAATATCTCAGTCTGAACTGGCCACATTTCAAGTGCTCAATAGGCACATTTAGCTAGTGGCTCCAATACTAAATAGCACAAATTTATATGTTTGGGAAAAGCAGTCCAAGTTTCAAGAAAAAGCAGAGAAGGATTAAAGGATATGCAAACAAGAACAGTGAAAAGTTTAAAAGGCTATAACTGAAAAACAAAGGAAGAAACTTTTAAGAAGAGAAAAGACAGTTAATATCAAATACTGCAGAAACTGGAAGAGACCTTTGTATTTAAAACCTAAGAGTCACATGACCAGTGTGAGTGGGCTGACCAGTGAACTCTGGAAACCAGTGAACTGTGGGCTGACCAGTGAACTCTGGAAACCAATCAGACTATAAGAAACTATCTATTAAAGGGATTAAACTATCACTTTTCTTCCAAAAAAAAAAAAAGTTTGGCAGAGGGAAGAAGGAAGAGAATTGGGACAATGCTCTGAGAAAAGAGGCTTATCTGGATATATTTTGAAAGTGAAAGTTGTTCAGTCATTTCTGACTCTTTGCGACCCCATGGACTATATACTCCAGTATAGACTATACAGTCTATACTATACAGTCCATGGAATTCTCCAGGCCAGAAATACTGGAGCGGGTAGCCTTTCCCTTCTCCAGGGGATCTTCCCAACCCAGGGATCGAACAGGGGTCTCCCACACTGCAGGCGGATTCTTTCCCAGCTGAGCCACAAGGAAAGCCAGAGAATACTGGAGGGGGCAGCCTATCCCTTCTCCAGCGGATCTTCCCGACCCAGGAATTGAACCAGGGTCTCCTGCATTGCAGGTGGATTCTTTACCCACTGAGCTATGAAGGAATCCTGGATATATTTGGAAGCTGAGGGGAAACCGCTGATTTCTTATAGAAGGAGAAACTGATAATCCAAGACCATTTTAGGCAACTGACAAAAAAGGAGCCAAAAATCACCAGGAGAAAATGGGACAAGGGAACTAAGTAGAAGAGAATAGCATAGAAGGAAAGAAGAGAGAACATTAAAGGACACAGAGGAAAATTCTCATTTCAAGAGAAAGCATGAGAAATCTCTCTTCAGAAGTTCTTTAGCTCAGTAACATTTCTGTTGTTTATGCCATAAAAGTGAAAGTCACTCAGTAGTGTTCGACTCTGCGACCACATGGACTACACAATCCATGGAATTCTCCAGGCCAGAATACTGGAGTGGGTAGCCTTTCCCTTCTGCAGGGGATCTTCCCAACGCAGGGATCAAACTCACGTCTCCCACAATGCAGGTGGATTCTTTACCAGCTTAGCCAGTAGGGACAGCCAGAGAATACTCGAGTGGGTAGCCTATCCGTTCCCCAGCGGATCTTCCTGACTCAAGAATCGAACTGGGGTTTCCTGCACTGCAGGTGGATTCTTTACCAACTGAGCTATCAGAGAAGTCCTAACATATTTCTAGAAGTCATCAATACAAAGTAAAGAAAGTAAAGCCATGAACAGATGTTTATGGCAGAGTGGAAATTATTTGTCCTTTGGAGAAAAGTTAATTTGAGCAGTGTTCCTCAAAGTGCAGGTCCACAGACCTGCATTGCAATCTTGAGAAGGTGACAAGTGCAAATTTAGGGCATCAAACCACCTACTGAGTCAGAATCTCTGGAAGTGAGACCAAGCATTTAGGGCTTTAACAAGGCCCTGCAGATAATTCTGAGGCACACAAAACTTTGAGAAGGACTGAACTAGACAAGCTCACTGACATATCAGAGTTGTTTACATACAACTATGGTATCTCTAAGTCAAGGAAGCGTTACTACAAACAAAGCTAGTGGTGTGATGGAATTCCAGTTGAGCTATTTCAAATCCTAAATGATGACACTGTTAAAGTGCTGCACTCAATGTCAGCAAACCTGGAAAACTCAGCAGTGGCTACAGGACTGGAAAAGGTCAGTTTTCATTCCAATCCCAAGGAAGGGCAATACCAAAGAATGCTCAATCTACTGTACAACTACATCCATTTCACATGCTAGCAAGGTCATGCTCAAAATCCTTCAAGCTAGACTTCGGCAGTATGTGAACCGAGAACTGCCAGATGTACAAACCGGGTTAAGAAAAGGCAGAGTAACCAGAGATCAAACTGCCACCACCCACTGGATCATGGAGAACACAAAGGAATTCCAGAAAAACATCTATATCTACCTCTGCTTCACTTACTATTCTAATGCCTATAACCGTTTGGATCACAAAATGGTGGGAAATTCTTGGGAAGAGATGGGAGCACCAGACCACCTTACCGGTCTCCTGAGAAACCTGTATGCAGCTCAAGAAATAACAGTTAGACTGGGACATGGAAAAGAGGACAGCTTCAAAATTAGGCAAAGAGTACAACAAGGCTGTATATTGTCATCCTGACTATTTACCTTCTATGCAGAGTACATCATGTGAAATGCCAGGCTGGATGAATCATTAGCTGGGATCAAGACTGCTGGTC